AGAGAAATAGGGCAAGAGCTGATCTGCGGATGACACCAGTGCTCAAGGGGTTACTTTGAGAAAAATGACCCCATGAATGAGAATGAAGAATGAGTAGCATAAGAAGAGATTCAGAGTAATGTGCTGACAGCCATGAGCCAATGGCCTAAGTCATGCTGCAGAAGAATTTAGGAAAACAGAGACCAGGCAATTAGAGACTTTAAAGATTTTGTTAAAAGGTTTTTGTAAAAGCAGTGATACCTTTTGATCACAGTTATATTGCAAAATAGATTAGCAGTTAGTGGAACTGCCTGACACACCACCATGCCAAGAAAACCATTTTTAAATATTTTAATATATTATTCTTTCAGCCTTTTTTTTTTTATTTTCGAGATAGGGTTTCTCTGTAGTTTTTGGTGCCTGTCCAGACTGGCCTCAAACTCACAGAGATCCGCCTGCCTCTGCCTCCTGAATTCTGGGATTAAAGGCGTGCGCCACCACTGCCCGGCTTAGACTTTTTTTTTTCTTAAGAGTCAGGATCTGTTGTAACCAAGACTAGTTTTGAACTTGGTTTGTAGCTAAGGATGACTTTGAACTACTGGCCCTCCTCCTTTTGCTTCTGCTGAGATTACAGGTATATGTCACCATACCTAGTTCAGACTTTTTTCTTATTCACATTCTTTTGTTCCATGAGCTCAGGCTGGGTTCAATACTGATTAAACAGGTTAAAAAGTCAAGAAGCTAAAACAACATATTGAAGCAGTAGGAAATCTAATGATCATCTCCTCATGAAAGTGGGGGATTGATGCCTTAGTGTGTCTTGAGCACTGCCTTTTCCTCCTTAACCATATCCAGCGTACAGAGAGGTTTCCTGATTGGCACATACATCCATATATAATGTGCCTGGCAAACTGGTGTTTTTCCTTTCAGTAAATAAAAGGGAAACTATGGTAATAGAACAGTGAAATTGGCAGGTGTTGTCTCTAGAAGGAGAAGATAGGGCAGGTGACAGGAGTCAGATATGTTGCCAATTGCTCCATTGGAAGGGATCTTGTTCAAAACACCCAAGCAGACGAAAAAATTGAGATTGGGTCCCAGCATTGTCACTTGGCAGTGTTTCAGAGCCTCAGATGTTGGCTGCTACATCTTTGAATATGTTCTTCAAGCCTGATGTGTAGGTAATGTTTCAGCAGATAGCTCAAACATATAATTATAAATCATGAGACATTCTAAACTGTTTTCAAAGTGGCTATATTGTGGGGGAATATGGTGTATATCTGTAATTCTCCAGAATACAGAGACAGGGTTTTTCTGTGTGACAGTCCTGGCTGTCCTGGAACTCCTTTGTAAACCTGACTGGCCTCAAACTCACAGAGACCCATCTGCCTCTGCCTCCTGAGTCCTGGGACAAAAGGTGTGCGATACCATGCCTGGCTTCATTTCTTAACTATGTGGAGAAGGATTTGGGAGTCTGAGACAGGAAGATATTATGAGTTCAAGGCCAGCCTGGACTGTAGAGTGAGACTCTTGAAACCCTGTCTCAAAATCACCCCTCCTCCAATGGATATAATATTCCAGAGGTTAGTCCATACCAGTTATGTTTAGTTTGGTAACATATTGTGATTGTGTATCAATACTCACCAGTGGGGAATGGCCATGGTGGCGCACATCTTTAATCCCAGCACTTGGGTGGCAGAGGCAGATGGATCTCTGTGAGTTCAAAGCCAGCTACAGAGTGAGTTCCAGGACAGGCTCCAAAGCTACACAGAGAAACCCTGTGTTGAAAAACAAAAAACAGGGACTGGAGAGATGGCTCAACAGTTAAGAGCACTGCCTACTGTTCCAGAGGTCCTGAGTTCAATTCCCAGCAACCACATGGTGGCTCACAACCATCTGTAGTAAGATTTGGTGTCCTCTTCTGGCCTGCAAAACACTGTATACATAATGAATAAATAAATCTTTAAAAAAAAGAAAACAAAAAACAAGCAAAATAAAAAAAGAAATAACTCTCCACAGACACTTAAGAGTAAAAGACAGATCAGTATGGTTTTTGTTTAGTGGGACAAAGAGGCAAGAAAAATGGAAGCCCTGACAGGAGTTGTTGATCTGGCATGGGAAAGTGTAAGATGCAAAAAGAGTGATAAAGTTAAGATATGATATGACAAGTGAAGAGGAAGAATTGCCTCTAGCTGTGGTGATAGAGGCTTATGATCCTATACTTGTAAAGCAAGATGTCTGAGTCTTTGTCTGTCTTGGGTTATTTGGTTTCTCTCTCTCTCTCTCTCTCTCTCTCTCTCTTTTCCTTTTTTCTTTTTTTTGAAACAGGGTTTCTCTGTGGCTTTTGGTTCCTGTCCTGGAACTAGCTCTTGTAGACCAGGCTGGCTTCGAACTCACAGAGATCCACCTGCCTCTGCCTCGCAAGGGCTGGGACTAAAGTCGTGCACCACCATCACCTGGCCTTCTTTTCCCCCCTGAGATAGGGTTTCGCTGTGTAACAGCCCTAGCTGTCCTGGAACTAGCTCTTGTAGACCAGGCTGGTCTGGAACTCACAGAGATCCGCCTGCCTCTGCCTCCTGAGTACTGGGATTAAAGGCGCGCACCACTGCCTGCCTCCGGTTTCTTTCTTTAAAAGGAGCAGTGTTAATTAGGAAGTTGATAGTTTGGATTTCAGATGTGTACTAGTTCTGGATAAGGGCACATCTTAAGGATTTGCAATGGAATAAGGGAGGGTATATAGAAGTTAAGGAATATTTGGAGGAACTATGACTCATTTTTTGTGTGGATTGTCTTTTATGAATGCTGAATGGGGACATATAACTCAGCGAGGTGCCAGTTATGTGGGAAAGTGATTGATCAAGAGGTGTGTAATAAGAGATAACAGAGGATGGATTTTTATATTATAAAAAAATTCTGAGTTTTATTTAGGAAAAGGATGGTAGGAAGTTAAGGAAAGGATTAAAAATATCTGTATGCCTTGGAAGAGTATTTTTAATAGGATGGGTGAAGGTGGGAATAGAAGCATGAAGTCTGGAAGGTGGGAATTTGAGGAAAAATATTTCAGTAAGGATGGAGAAGGAACTTTGGACCAACATGTGCATGTAAGGAAGTTTATGCGTAATTCAAGGTTCTACAGGGCACAGTGGAAAGAATTGTAAAGGCATTTACGAATGTAGAAATCCTTAGAGAGGAAGCTAGGAGCTATGTGAGCATGCAAAGAAAAGAACAAGATAGAAGATGACATGAGGTGGATGCTAGTGGGAAGAAAATTACTTCAGTTCATAAGCAGAATCGACTAAATTTACTTTTTGCTTGGACCTAGTTTATTTTTATATTTTTGTAATACTTGGAATTGAACCCAGGGCTTGCATATTAAATATGCACTCTACCTCTAAGCTATGCCTCTTGCCATAGATCGAATTTGGTTGTTTTTTTCTTGTGTTTTGAGACAAAGTCTCATTGTGTAGCTCTGGATAGTTTGGAAGTTGATGTGTAGGCATGACTGATCTTGAATTAAGATCCACCTGCCTCTAGTTCCTTGAGTGTTGGGATTAAAGACATGCCTCCATGCCCAGCCTCTACCTCATATCTGATTTTAATTGTATCGTGTTAGCTTAATTTTTTCCCTCCCTCCCTCCCTTTCTTTGAGATTTCCTTTCCTCTGAGTAGCATCCCTAGCTGTCCTGGAACTCATTTTATAGGCCAGGTCTCACTCTGTAGCTGGCCTTGAACTCACAGAGATCCACCTGCCTCTGTCTGCCTTCCAAGTGCTGGGAATAAAGACATTCACCACCATGCCTGGGTTTATTTCTTAGCTATGTGGAAATTTGTTTCCTTTAAAAATTATATATTTTAGATATAAAAGCATTCATCTGTTTTCAAAATGAGGTTAATAAGGTAAGTATAGAAGAAAAATGTCTCTTAAAACTTACTACCTAGGTTCATCATTTTAGTATATGTTCTTCCAGACTTTTTCCTCATCTGAACAAATACATATATATTTTATTTTTGAAGCTATACTCAGTATATCGTGGTAGCAGCTAATAAACATCCTTTGTCAGAATAAGCAGATTTCTACCACCACTCTTATCTATTAAAGTAATCTACCATAAGACTGTACCATATTTATTTACTAATCTGTTGTCAGACTTGTTTTTGTTTTACATAGTATCTTGTTATGTACCCCTAGCTGGCCAGAACTTAATGCCTCTGTTTCCCGAGTGCCACATGTCCCACAAGTGTCAAGCTTTTGTGTATTTTTTGTTGACAAGGACGGTCTGTCTTTGTAGCTCAAGACAGGAGCTGGTCTGGAACTTGCTGTGTAACTCAGGCTGACTTTGAATTTTCAGCAAGCTTTGTTTATCACTCTCCCTCTGTTCTTCCTCTCCTCTCCCTTCTCCTTTTCTCCTTCCTTCATCATGCCCAGGCTGGCCTGGAACTCTGGATTTGAGTGATGTTTTTCTTCCAGCCTCTTGAGGAGCTATAACTGCAAATGCATGTTACTGTGCCAGATACTTTATAATAGTTTATTATAAATCCTAGGAAGAAGAATTTTATCTGTACAACTTGGCATGTTTATCTAATTACTTTCTTTGGGTGAATTTCTAGGAATTTTCAAGTTTGGTTTTTTTCTGGATATAATTTATTTTCTGTTTTTTTTTTTTTTTTTTTTTTGCTTTTCCTTAACTACATACTTGCATATGAAATCTTTTGTATTCCTAGTTTTGGAACATGTGTATATTTGATGGATTATGTAAAGTAAGTCAGATGGGTGTGTGTTGTTTGTAAGTTAATAGGTTACTGTTGCTTGATTGATTAATCTTTAGTAGAGTCTCTTCCCCAGGTAGGAACCCAAAAGTATTAGCTTGGAAGCTTTCATAGAAGATTGCCTTCTCTCTAAGGGTTTGTACACTTTTGAGACTGTTCCAGTAGACCTAAGATATTATAAAAACTGTTACAGCTCTTAATACCTTCTGAATGCATTGTCATGATTAATACCATTTTCTTTAATTACTTTTTTCCAGGTGATTCATGGCAGGGGACGTGGAAGGTTTCTGTTCTTCTCTCCATGACACCAGTGTCTCTGCTGGGTTCAGAGCACTGTATGAGGAGGGATTGCTTCTCGATGTCACTCTTGTTATTGAAGATCATCAGTTCCAGGCCCATAAAGCACTCTTGGCCACCCAAAGTGATTACTTCAGAATTATGTTCACTGCAGACATGAGGGAACGAGATCAGAACAAAATTCATTTAAAAGGTCTAACAGCTACCGGTTTCAGCCACGTTCTTCAGTTTATGTATTATGGAACTATAGAACTGAGTATGAATACTGTTCATGAAATCCTTCAGGCGGCAATGTATGTTCAGCTTATAGAAGTGGTGAAGTTCTGCTGTTCTTTCTTATTAGCCAAAATCTGCCTAGAAAATTGTGCAGAAATTATGAGACTCTTAGATGATTTCGGTGTTAACATCGAGGGAGTCAGGGAGAAGCTGGACGCTTTTCTGCTAGACAACTTTGTGCCACTCATGTCCAGGCCTGACTTCCTGTCCTATCTGAGCTTTGAGAAGCTCATGTCTTATCTGGATAATGATCATCTGAGCAGGTTTCCAGAAATTGAGCTATACGAGGCTGTGCAATCTTGGCTGAGACATGATACACGACGATGGAGACATACAGATACCATCATTCAGAACATCAGGTTTTGTTTGATGACTCCATCCAGCATTTTTGAGAAGGTTGGTGCATTTGAAAACAGTAGACAGGACTCCTCATTTAGTTAAAGATGTTGTTATAGATGAGATTCCCAGAGTTGGTTAGGAGTCAAAGTAGTTTTATAAAAATATTTTATATATAAGAAGCTGACTTTATTATAGCTTATGTATTTAGTTGTTTTTAAAATACATTTTGTGAGTGAAGGGTGAACCAGGTAGGTAGTAGAATAGTTCCACTTTTGAAATACTTTTAAGGTTGGCTTACAATGTGATACAAATATTACAAATTTGCTTTAGCTTTTTATAATATAAACTGGGTTAAGATTTTTAAAGTTAATATAAATAATCCATGCTAGAATTGACATTGGGGGCAGTTACAATTCTACATGGTACATATACATTAAATGCATTTTGTTATTTAAAATGCAGTAAGGGCACATATAAATAGCTCTTGATGACCAATAGGCCACAGAGTGATTGTCTTCCATATTCTTACTTATTTCTGTTCCCCATTTCACTGTTGAATACTAACTAAATTTATCCCTGAAAATAGTATATATGCCTAAAAACATTTTGACATTTCCAAATTAGTAGACCATAAATCCTCTATGTATATTCATCAAGCATCCATGTGTACATTTTAGCATGTAAATAATTCTATTTTAAAATACTTTCTCTAAAACAGCCTTGGCCTTTTTTGTAAGCATCTTCATTTTTATATCAGAGTCTCACTTGTGATCCATTCTTGCCCAAAGGAGAGAGAGCAGCTTCAGTAATTGCTTAACTTAATTGGTTTCTAATCACTTGGTTACCTCTGGGGCTATGTTTACCTCTTGCATCTTTCCTTTCTAGAAAGCACACAAAACTTCTTTGACAGACACCCTTCATGTTAAAATACTCGGCTTTAGCTACTAACAGATCATGTGGAAAAATATAATCTCTGAAAAGGAACTTTGTTTATGCCATTTGAAAAATAAACAAATTCGTGCCTTTGAATAACACTCAGCAGACTGGCATGTTTTTCTTTTTTTCCCTTCTGAACTGCTATGAAATGTCATTATCTTTTTTTTTTCCGAGACAGGGTTTCTCCGTAGCTTTTTGGTTCCTGTCCTGGAACTAGCTCCTGTAGAAATGTTATTATCGTTAATAGAGAATTTTATGGAATTTTATCTTTATTCTTAGAATGTATTAATATGGCAGAAATAATTGAAACTAAAGAATATACTTGTTTTTGTTCAGTAAAAACCAGCCCCACATCAACTATGTAAACCATTTGCTGCTTATGTTTTGATTTTTTTCTACCTTTACTATTGTTTTTATTGCTTTCTTTCCCTGGGGATTCATGTTTTGTCTTTATATATTAAATGAGGATGCTTTTTCACTACTAAAACAGAGCCCCCTACTCCCCGCATTTTAATTAGAGATTGAAGTAGAAAGTATTTCTGAAATAGAAAATAAAATTTCATCTCTTGTGGGACAGAATAATGGTTAACTGAGAGCAGTTAATGCTTTGTAAATGCTGAGCTGCTAGACTAGTCTGCATTTCAATGATCAGTTTTCAAAGTAGGCAATTGTTATCGTGGCTAAAATATAGTGTTGGGTAGGTTGTCTAGCAATTGAACTTGCTGATTTCCTTTTGCACCTATCGCATAACAATGGTTATCACCATTGGCTAAGTGTGTGGTTTTTTTTCATGATAAAAATATTATTAAGGCTTCTTTCTGAAATTACTTTCTTAGGTAAACTTAAGACCCAGTTGAGAAGAAATTTTTCATTTTTTTTGTAATACAAAAATCTTTCACTTGAATAATACTAGTAAGATTGCCTTAATAGTGTGTGAGATTTATTAAAACAATCTATGACTTTTTAAATGTTGAGATGCACTTCAATTATGCAGATTAGAGGCCTTATCTCTAGAAATATAACTTGAAAAACAAACTATTAGGGAGAATTTGGTTGGCAAATACATATTAGATATGGTTTGGCATGGTGGCATACACCTTTGATCCCAGCACTTAGGCAGAGGCCAGCTATAGAGAGACCCTGTCTCAAAACAAAGAATTTAGACATGTATTTTATATTTTAATCTCTTTGAAAATAGTATCCATGTATTTTTCTTGCAAGTCCCAAACAAGGCCTGTTTATTTGTTTTGTTTTGTTTTGTTTTGCTTTTTGGTTTTTCGAGATAGTTTCTCTGTGTAGCCCTGGATGTCCTGGAACTTACTCTGTAGATCAGGCTGGCCTCTAACTCACAGAGATTTACCTGCCTCTGCCTCACTCCTGAACGCTGGAATTAAAGGTGAGCGTCACCACTGCCCTGCCAAAGGCCATTTATTATTTTGGGTTTTTCGATACAGGGTTTCTCTATGGAGCTTTGGAGCCTGTCCTGGAACTCACTCTGTAGACCAGGCCGGCCTGGAACTCACAGAGATCTTCCTGCCTCTGCCTCCCCAGTGCTGGGATTAAAGACACACGCCACCACCTGCCTTGCTCAAGGCCTTTTTTTTCTTTATAAAAAGAGTTTAATTCTTTTTTTATTAATTATTTATTAAAGATTTCTACCTCCTCCCCACCACCGCCTCCCATTTCCCTCCCCCTCCCTCGTCAGCCCAAAGAGCAATCAGGGTTCCCTGCCCTGTGGGAAGTCCAAGGACCACCCACCTCCTTCCAGGTCTAGTAAGGTGAGCATCCAAACTGCCTAGGCTCCCACAAAGCCAGTAAGTGCAGTAGGATCAAAACCCAGTGCCATTGTTCTTGAGTTCTCATCAGCTCTCATTGTCCGCTGTGTTCAGCGAGTCCAGTTTTATTCCATGCTTTTTCAGACCTGGGCCAGTTGGCCTTCAAGGCCGTTTTTTTTTTTTTTTTTTAAACTCAAACATTGGTTATGTATACCTAGTCCTAGAGTGGGCATAAAAGTGTAAAGCTAAATCCATGCTGCTCCTTATTAGTAAGAGAGTCTCCAGGGACAAGGAGTATAACTATTTTTGATTTGTGGTTTTTACCCCATTTTCTGAAATTTATAAAAATGGATTTTTTTTCTTCAAGTAAGGCTTTTTACTCTATCCCAGGCTGGGCTTAAACATGTTATAGAACCCAGGTTGGCCTCACACTCAGGATAATCTTCCTGCCTCAGCCTTCTCAAGTACAGGAATTATATGCATGTACCACATCTGGCAGGAAGTGTTGGTATGGCCTTATTTTAGCTTTTATGTGTTTTAAATTTTCTGTTGTAAATTTTATAAAAAAGTTGAAAAAAATAGAATGATCACTCCAAAACAAACATAATATGTAAGTTAATAGCTGTTAACATATTTGTTAGATAGAGATTGTATAGTCTTTAGTATGTGTTCTTTTTTCCCTTCCTGAACTGGCTCAATGAATGTTGTAGAGCCAGGCAGTGGTGGCACATGCCTTTAATCCCAGCACTTGGGAGGCAGAGGTAGGTAGATCTCTCAATTCAAGGCCATTATACCAGAACTACACAGAAACCAGGTTTCAAAAAAAAAAATAAAAGAATGTTGTAGGCATTGTGACCATTCATTCCTAACTGTTTCATGTATCATCTCCCAAGATTAAGGCTATCATCCTACATAACCAAAATACTATTGTTGTACCCAAGAGAATTAACAATATTTCTTTAGCATCATGTAACATCTAGGTCATTTTCTGTTAGTTCAAAGGTATCTTTTTTGGTTGCTTTTCATGAACTAAAATTTAATCAAGATTTGCACAGTATATTTGGTTGTCTTTGTTTTAATTTTTAATTGCCTCTCCCTTTCCTCATTTGTTTTAAGGATGTTCAAATATATGAAAAGTTGAATGAATGGTGTAATGAACACTTGTATCATGTGTAGCTGTTGCTTTTCTAGCTTTTGAAAATAACTTGTAACTTGTAATTATCAATATACCTCACTCTTAAATACTTAACTGTATTTCTCTGATGAGTAAGGATTTTTCTTATTTAAATACAATACTATTTTTACCTTAGGAGCAGTAACACTAAGGCCCATCATCAAATTGCTAATGCATATTCTAGTTTTTGCATTTGCTTCCAAAATCTACTAGAATCCAGTGTTTTTGCATTGCTTTTTGGCCATCATATATATCTAAGCTTTCTTCATCTACAGCAACCTCCACCTTTCTTTTCTTTTTCTTTTTTTCTTGAGAAAGACTAGAATGTGTTTCACATTCTGGATGTATTCTAGATGTGTCTGATTATTTCCTTGTGTTGTTAATTTAGTTTCTTTATACTCCTTGTTTCCTATTAACACAGCTACATTTTAGCATCTTGTTTTTTTTTTTATGAACAATTACAGGAAAATACTATAATGCCAGAGGAAAAACTCGGAAAACCATTTAGTTGTTCTGATTAGGCTTAGAAAATCATCATTTTTTTTTTTTGGTATTATGTTTCCAAGCAGCTCATATCTGTGACTAAAACCAAAACCAAAAATTTTATTCACTCTGTTCTGTATTCAGTTTCGTTTAGAGTAATAAATTTTTTTTCCTTAAAGAAAAAGTAGAATACTTTGGTTTATTGGAGTTAAAACTATATGAAGGGTTAAAATTGAAAGAGTCCTAATAAAGAAGTGAGCCTGAGATTTCGGTTTGTAGTATAAGCTTAGTATGCACTATATTCAGTCTCCAGCATGACCCAAATCAGGTGTAACTGACTTGAGTTCCACTGTTCAAAGATTAAGACAACAAAAAGTGGGATTGGAGAAATGACTCAGCAGTTAGGAGTACTGGGTGCTCTTCTAGAGGACCCGGTTCAATTCCCAGCACCCACATGGCAGCTCACTACTGTCTGTAGCTCCAGCTCCAGGGGCTCCATGACACCAGGGATGCACATGATGCACATAGATATGCATTCAGGCAAAATACCCATACCCATAAAATAAATCTTTTTGAAATGCAACAAAAAGGATGTTTATCTCAAATTTACTTTGGAACTAAGAATTTTAAACGTAGGACCTTAGTGGATACTAGCTAGCTAAGTGTTCTACTACTGAACTACATCCCTA